TTTTCTTGTCTACAATTTGACAAATGATCACTTCCACAACCGATAAACAACTTCTTTGGGAGGATAGGACGATATCAATCAGTTCATATTGTGTATTCAAGACAAATTTCTATCAAATGCATTTCCTAAGAGTTCATTTAGCTGAGTAAGGACGCACATACACCAAATCTTCTTTGAAAAGTTCTAATGGAATTGCGCGTATCAAGTCAAAAAACGTTTCAACATTGATTTTATATCTTAGTACCCAGTACAGAAGCTTACAGATACCATGTTTCTGATCAGGAAGGACGTTTCTTCATGACAGGTATGAATAACTGGACTAAATTTCCCAGGAAACCTAATTCCTGTTAAACTATTCTTTTTGATTTCCAACTATATATTTATCTGAGAATGTGTCAACATAGATTTTCTTTAATTATCGAATATGTGCAATTACTATTCATATTTATGTTTTTTGAATAAAAAATAGCCGTACAATGTTGCAAAATTTATTTCCTGAAAAGATTTGCCGTAAATCTTTAGGTACACTCTTCACTCGAAATCTATGCTGAAAACTAACAAGTAACGGTTACCGTGTATGGGGTGTTAGTTTTAAATTTATTCGTCTTTCTACCAAGACAAAGCTGGAGTTACAATTAGCTCTTTCTGTTTGCACAGATTAGAGTTCCACCATTTTATAGCAATCACCGGCGGAAGCCTTGGTCGTTCTGTTCATCGATACACGTGGAAGATGTAGTATCTGTACTTCACCAGGTTCGTCTCCATTCGTCACAAACGACGGCTGTTGAGGACAAATTATGGCCGTATGAGAAAGTTTGCAAACCTATTAATTTTGTAGATGAAATGATAAACTTGAACAAAACTCTCCAGGACAACGGCTATTCGAACTCGTTAGTTAAAAAGTACAGCATACGTCTGAAAAAAGAGTGACTTATATCCACACAAAAGTGTAAGGTTGTTCTATAACGAAATTCAAGGGTGGTTACGTGAGTGTGTTCTTAGCACACCGTCAAATTTCTTTTTTCAAACGAAAATTCAACCCAATCCAACCAGCTTGCGGTTATACATTTGATACAATAATCCCTCCTCCAGTCAAGCAACCGCTTTCGCTGTATGCCGAATTCCATTAATTGTACCAATTCGTCTGTGGGTGCTCGGCTACTTACCTAGGCTGAACTGAGCGGCAGCCTAAACATAGTAGCCGATTTTTCGATGTGGGTGAGTAAACTAGTGAACAAATCACACCAGAATGATCAGGATCAAAGGTTAACCCAAAGCCACACACCGGCATCATGGGTTGACCGACACATGTTACAGGCGTGACCACGCATTGAAAAGTGGTTGTCTGCACGCATAGCTCTCGACTGCTGCAATTTGTAGAGTAAATTGTTACAAATGACGGAACCCTAAACTGTGCAGACAGAAGGAGCTGTTTGTAACTCCAACCTTGCCTTGGTATGGAGATGGACGAAGTTAACACCAACAGCTCATACACGATATCCGTTACTTGTAAGTTTTCAGCATAGTTTTCGAGTGAAGAATGTACCTGAAGGGATACAGTAAATAATTTCCGGACATAAATTTTGCAACGTTGTGCTGACGTGCTCTCGATTCAAGTTCATATAGAAAATTTGATGTTTCAATTTCGTCAAAAAGTGATTATTTTGTCATTTTTCTCAAAAAGCATCCAATCCAAGAGAGGTGATCAACACGTGAGATTTCTTACGAAAAACATAACAAGTAAGATCACACTTTCTAGATTTGAATAATTCCCAGTCAAATGAATGTACACTTCATTTTCACTTGTTCGTCAAGCTTGACAACTTGCTTGTAAACGTTTCATGATCGACCGAGGTGACACCTTGCGTGCAAACAAATTCCAAACTCGTCAAACTGGTGAAGATCAATTCAGTTTACCGGAGCCACGAGAAACGTTTTCGACTGAATGTACGATCAACAAGGAGCATAATTCAGGTATATCATTTTTTCCGGGTCCTTTGTTCCCAGGTACGATTTAAGCGAGAAGGGAGACACCTGATCGACGTGGGTCTTTGGGTAAGTTTATGGCAAAAATTTAGACTGCTTACTTGTAATAACCAGGTCAAAGTAAACTGGGACCCGAAATGCAAACTTGTGCCACTACGTGTAAGGTATGGAATGGTCGATACAACTGTTTTGTTTTCTCCCGAACTCATCAGTGATGCGCACTACTATTGAATCCCTATCGGCACTCAAACTAGCAGTTCCAGCTGAAACACAATGAATGATTCGTGCTTTTAAAATGCTCGTTCACTGTTCTTCTGAATTCCTTGACATGCGAAAAACTTGGAGTTGCACTGATTCATATATTTACAAAACAAGGCTGACCACAACAAATGGAGGAAAAAAGGGCAATAAGCTTGATGATATATATACTGTTGCAGCAAGGGTAGACAAAAGTTAGTTTGAAGATCCCAGAATTTGATGGGACGGATTGTACTGAACAACTAATTTGTCTCGAACTGGAATTCAACGCGTTCGGAATAGAAGCACGCCTTTGGAATCAATGTGAAAGTATGAAAAGAAACCGCTTATATGGGACACATAGCTGAAAAGGATGGGGCAAGAAAATAAAACAATGCGGATGGAAAGTATTTAAACCAAAAGATTATTGATCGCTTACCATGCATAATCGATTTTCATAGTTAGATATCAATGTACAGGTCGTTATATTAGCAAGATAATAAGATCAAATAAATCCACAATCTATTCGCAATGACTTCGGGCGATTACACAAGAAGAGTGGATACGAAATTCATTAAAGATAAATGAGCCTTGCATGCATCGCATCAGAATAAGGGATTGCACAAATCCCATTTAAACTGAATCAAAAACATTCATGGATATAATGGATATAATGTATTTTGGAATGATTTATTTACATTTGGGAACTTGCGTACTAATAATGAATTCCAAATACCAAGCAGAACCGGGCTGGTCCGCAACGTTACAAATTAAAACCTCGTATGTTGAGATAATTAAATTGCTGTCCCTCATTGAATTTTGTGTGAAAAGTATTTACATAAGACGATTTGATGCCTTTCAGCCAACTGCATACTCTGTGCATACACAACTTCAACAAGCTGAACAATAAAAAGCCGATTTTAATTCTGCGCTTAAGAAGGGTCATTTTGAATCAATATATTTTTCCTAAAATAGATGTTATTCAGTCAAGTGGATTTCTTTCACATAAGGTTGCCGATTTAGCACTATTGATGTGAAGCTAAATCAGTTGTTGTTTTTGTTGTTATCTTCTTCGTTGTGCTGCATCGTATGGTCACTCGCAGATAAACACATTTGACCTTTTATCCATGGTTCACAAATAAGCCCAATTTTGCTGTTGTATGGGTGAACCACACTGTTTGACCGGTGATACGGTGACCGTCACTCGTAAATTTTTATTCAGAAGACTATCCATTGTCAATCTGAGATGAACGACAGACTCCTCATAATTCTCGTCATGTGCATCGTATGCTTATTATTCCTGTTCCTGCATAGCCTCGAGCTGAACTCTATTACTTCACTGACTACTTTAAAAAATAAAGAAAAGCTTCTGGAAGATGCGATTCTATATGTTCCTCGGTAATGATTACTCCCTCTCCGAGGTATAACATGCACCCCATCGTGAACTGGTAAATCGATTGCCCCACCAAAGGATAAAAATTGAAAGAACTGGTGATTCCGAGAAACCATTCGTTATGATCCCTTAGACGTCATTCATTTTTGTGCCTCGACTGTTTGTCCTCTGGATGATTTGAGGCTGATAAAAAATTTGCGTCATGATAATGTACTTCACGAAAAGTTCCTTAGGTGATAGTGTCCATTTAATCTCAGGATTTACCGATCCAACATGACGTTTACTCCGGATAAGATAACCCGTACATATTGTAAACGCTTGTATTAGAACTAGCGTTATCTCAGCGGTCAAGAGAATGTGTCGATCAAGGTTACAAACAAGCAGGATTAACTTGGCTTGAGTTCTGATTAGCATCGATTGTATGAAGCCAAATGTGTTGTCCGGCTATAAGTGACAACTTAGTCACGGACGTCCTTCCACGAATCGTTAATTACCTGATCGGTACTTCGGAGTAATGAATCGTTTGACTGTGGAAACAACATGGCCTAAGTGTATCATAGTGATTATATATATATATATATATATAAACGTGTACATAAATGAATAGATAGCATGAATAACGTATAATATATGCTCCTAACACGGTAAATGTGCGTCACTATCTGATCAACAAAAATTAGTCACACCTTATTCAAAGACGTCTCCACTTGTGACCGTCATCAAAACGACGTTGAGCATCACATAACTAACTGCTTTCCTCAGTCCGTAAAAAGCGGCATAATCCTCAAACTTCGAAGTGGTATGCAGGGATCTCGAAAAACTGTACACCTCGGCATCATGTCATGTATAATATAAGACAAATGTTATCATCGTCTGACAAATGAACTCAAAAAGTGTTCATCCTTTACAACCAGTCATAGAGGATAGAGTAGGGGTTTAGACTTTGTATTTCGACGGACTGATTTGTGTATTTCCTTTAACCAAGCGCTTGCCTTTATGCCCATTCAAGAATGGAATGTGAACTCAGATGGCCCCTGAAACGTGATGAATTGCTACATATTGTTCCCATTCAAAATCCATTGAGAAACAATCCGGCTGAAACATCTAATTTTCCACGGACTGATTCTCCATCTTCTTCTCCCCCCGTCCGACATTTCTTTCTTTCTCTCACCCCATTTTCCTTACACCGGCTCTTTGTCACTTGACGTCCAAATGGACTCAGAAAGGTAGTTTTGTTTCACATTACTTTGTAATCAGATGTCTATTGACCTATATATTTCAGGCGCACTTTTTAACATCTCACTGGTGTTTCGTTATGGTGAATAATAAAAGGTTTATGATCAAATTTGACGCACGTCTTAAGAACATCAAAAATAAATGCCACTTACCATCCAAAATCTTTCCCAATCACACAGTTCCACACCCCGGTGTATTTCGAATCAAATTCCTTTTTAATAAACGCAGCGATTTCTTTGTTATCCATAAATTTCTGACTAGCGATGGCATACGTGTCAACAGCCATCTGTTGCCACTCGTGATTTAATTCTGTTTTCTTGATCAGTGCTCTCTGTTGCACCTCGGGCGCTTCGAACGAGATGCGTGGATTTTCTGGCATTTTCTAAGTGTAGTGTATGCTCCTGCACAGATTCGCTTGTTCTTATGTGATCTTAGACTCACACCCCGGGTTTTGGATCGGTCATTGTGCCCGCACTTGTACGTGATGTTCTGCTCTGACTGGGGTTCGAAAATGAATTGTTGTGGTGAAGCTGTTCCGTTGCTGTTGTTGTTTTCTGTCTTTTTCGATCGATACATGGCCATGCCTTTAGTGACACGTTTGTGCCATATTGTACACCGTAGCACACCGTTTCCGACCGAGCTTGATTGTGCGTTTCTCGACCCAACCAAATCCGTTGGCAAGGAGCCTGCTGTTGTGTACACATAGTTACTTTTCAGCAGGCGTGCTGACGTGTGTGTGTGTGTGTATGTCTATGTTTGAAAACGTTGATGTGCTCACTTTTTGTGGAGGCAACGCTCATGGACTGCAATAGAGAATGAGAGCACTCAAATAGGGTTTGAAACACATGACAATCTTCCTGAGTGAATGAATGAATAGAAAAAACATACTATTTCAAACAATTTTGAATTTGTGTCGGCGTAATTATCACATCAGTTTGGTCGTTGGGATGCACCACTGGTGCATGATGGAGAAATAATAGTCTCTGATTTCCTAATGATATGCGAGTTATTCTATTTTCTATCGTCTTTGATTTTTGTAACGCTGTTCGATGCTGCGGCTTCAACTTGCATTCTCCCTGGATATTCAGTAGTCTCAGTGATTGAGAATATCCTCAACAAATGCAGGCGCTTGGTTTATAAACAGTCAGTTTTTCAAACACGTGTGACAAATGATAGGAAAATAGCAATACTAGTTTAGGTTATTGAATTGAGGACTATTTTGCACTGCAAACGTACTCTTGACTCGCAAAATGCAGCGGAGATAACACATGCAAGACAGGATATCCTCCGGGCCACTCAAGATTATACGAGGCAGAATGGACGACGAACAACAAAACCGCTGGTTGGCGGCTATTCGGACCGATGGGTAATAAGGCTTGCGAGGAAGCATAGGCAGACAGGTTGTTCGTTGACAAAACCTAATTAATCTATAAACATTTCTTACACCATGTCACCCATAGTGCGATTTGTCGATTTCACTGAGGAAAAAATAAAAGTATTGTTAAATCCAAATGACTATCCAGGCCAACGTTGAGTGATGCGCAACCTCAAAAGCCAATTCCAAGTTTTCCACAGGTTTATTCGACTCCAACAATAGCGAATAAGTATGCGGTACTGTAAATATTAAGCGTCACAATTACATAAACAACACACCTCAAATCGTGGCGTTCCCAGGGGGTATGCCTGAACCGGCGAAATAAACAATACCAATCGAGAACCAAGATGCAAAC